AATTATTATATAACATGCAATATGGATTCAAAAAAAATAATTCAACAGAGCATGCAATTATTCAGCTTACAAGAAGTATATCAGACACATTTAACAATTCTAAATTTATATTGGGAATATTTATTGATTTAGCGAAAGCGTTTAATACAATTGATCAAAAAATTCTTATTAAAAAATTAGAACATTATGGTATAATAGGCAATGTTTTAAAATGGTTGAAAAGTTATTTAACTAATCGTAAACAATTTGTTTATGCTGATCATCATTTTCATCAAATTTGTTAAATATTACATGTGGAGTTCCTCAAGGATCCATATTAGGACCTCTTCTCTTCCTTATTTATATTAATTATCTATACAAAGCCTCAAATTTAATAACAATTATGTTTGCTGATGACACTAACTTATTTATGTCTCACAAAAACATTCCTACTTTATTTCATAACGTGAACAACGAGTTAATCAAAATATCTGGCTGGTTTAAGACAAACAAACTATCCCTTAACATTGATAAAACTAAATGGATTCTTTTCCATCCTCTTACCAAAAAACATAAACTGCCAATTAACATGCCTCCACTTGTTATTGACAATATACAAATTAAAAAAGTAACAGTAACAAATTTTCTAGGCGTTTGTTTAGATGAAAATCTTACATGGAAAAATCACATTAAAAACTTATCAAGTAAAATTTTAAAAAATATAGGAACATTGTACAAAGCGAGAAATTCCTTAAATAAACAAACTTTAGTTCAATTCATTGCCACATAAACTATGCAAACATTGCTTGGGTTAGTGCAAATAAAAACAAACTTAAACCTCTTTGCTGTCAGCAGAAGCATGTAGCATGCCTTATATATTTTAAAGACTGTTATTCTCATGCCAAGCCTCTTTTATTTGAAATGAAAGTTTTTAATATATATGAGATTAATATTTTTAAAATTCTTTGTTTTATATTTAAATATAAAACCGATTCATCCCCGATTTCTTTCCATAATTTGTATTCAACAAAAGATAAAATAAATACATTTTACGCAATAATAACTTTAATAAGCAGCCCATTTTTCAAACAAATCTTTTTAAATTTTGTATAGATTATCGCGGACAATTCTTATGGAATAAAATAGTTTTAAAATATTTTACTGAGTATTTCATCAATCAAAGTAACTACTTTTCTTTTAAACAAAAGCTCAAAGAACTCATTTTTACAATCGATGATTTAACAATATACTTTTGATATTTTTTGTGATCTTTGTTTTTACCATTTATTTAAACATGAACTTATAAAAAGTATATGTGTATCATTAACAACTATAACTTACATATACAATAGATATAACGCATCTTGTATTTATTATGGAGTATTTTAAGTTTCTTACTTTTGTTAACTTATTTTTATTTTTTAATCTTGTAATTATCTTTTAACTTTTAACACGAACATTTCTTAGGGGTACTCGACGACAAGACCGTATGGTCTTCTACGAGTCCCCGCGTTCTTTTATTTTCTAATAACGACCATTATATTTATATATAAACTTATTGTTACATATTTGTATTTGAAATATTGTAAATGTAATAATAAGAACGAAAAAAAGAAAAAAAAAAAAAAAATGGACGTCAAGCATCAGCATCACTTGTGCGTAGGAAACTAATAGCTAACAATATGCAATGAAAAAAATCTGTTTCAAAACCGCAACTTACCAAACAACATATAAAAAAGCAAAAAGAATTTTGCTAAAGTGTCAAAGAATGGTCTAAAGAAAAATGGAGGACAGTAATGTTAAGTGATGAGATGAATATCGAGTTGATAACCGAAAAAACCGAATTATGATTCGCAGGCAGCCTTCATAAAAGAATAATCTTGATTGTATCATTCAAAAAACAAAACAAGATAGCAGGTTGGTTGGAATATGGTGCTGCATGACATTATACGGTCTCGGTATGTTTAAATTATTTGATGGTTGACTTAACTCTATTTATTACGTCGATATTTTAAGTAACAACTTATTACCATTAATGAACTTGAGCAAAGCGTTCCATTCATTTTTCGGCAAGACAATGCACCATGTCACAGGGCTAAAATTTTCTTTGAATGGTTCGAAAGCAAAAATATTGAGAGTCTAACTTGGCTACCAAATAGCCCAGATCTAAATTGCTTTGAAAATTTTTGGATAAAGAGATTGCCAAAAAAGCAAAAAGGAGCCTTGAGGAGTTGCAAAATATTTTACCAACAATACTTGGAACATATAATTATAACATTATAATTATTTTTTTTTTACCAGAAAATTATATTTGACTAAATAAAAATCATTTCACCTAAAAAACCTATTAATTTAAAATTTTATTCAAATTTGGAGAAGCGATTTTAAAATGATTTTTTTTTTAAAAAAAAGAATCTTTGGTCTGCTACAAACATTTATAATTTATGATACCGCAAAATTTTTTATTTTCATGTTTTTCGTCTTTTCATAATTCACAGGCCATTTAACGGAAATATGTCTTAGTCAACAAAACTCTTACAGACGCTATAATATTTTATAAGTGCCTTAACTACATCGAGTATGCTTGTTACGTATTTCGAGAAAAACGCAAGTATAATTATATTATTTAAAAAAATTAAAAATTAACTATTTGTAAAACGTTTTTTGAAATGAATAACTTTTATGAACTTTTTCAGAAGTCTTTGAAAATATTTATTTGATAAGGTTTGTAGACATCTAAACTAAATTATTTTGAAAAAAAGTCAAAATTGATATTTTTTACCTTTAGGCGTTTTGAAAAACGGCTGCAGTCTAGATTATACAACGAATATGTTGAAATGAATTAACTTGACACAATTCTAATTCATAATTCTAATCTAATTTAAAAGCTCTTAACAAAAGCCACTAAACCAAAAAATAAAAATAAAAAAGTAATTGCAGTTTAGTGCACTTAAAAATGTTAATATAGTGTGTTGTTTTTTGCAAAGAAACAAATAAATCATTTTTTATTTTTAATATAAACTAACTTTTATTTAAACTTTGTTGCGCTCATCACGGTCGTTTAGATATTAGTACAAAGCGCTATGTTTTTTTTTTTGTTTTTTTTAAGTTGATTAAGGTGCCCCAAGAAGTCCTTACAGTCTTATCGCAGGGCACCGCGGAAGAGCATTTAATAGGAAGTTCACGCCTCCTTCCCAACTGATGTCACAAAACTTGCCCAGAGGTATTAATGTGGGGTTTGAACCACGGATTTTACGTTTTTGAGGCAAGTGCGCTACGGCTGCTAATATACGCTATTGGAGCTGGAATTACCGCGGCTGCTGGCACCAGACTTGTCCTCCAATTGATCCTCGTTAATAGAATTAAATTGTTCTCATTCCAATTGCGAGACCTATAAAAGCCCCGTACCGTTATTTCTTGTCACTACCTCACCGAATGTTTGGCTACGTATGCGTAAGAAAATACGAAAAACTTTTGAACTTTTAAAATGGCCACGGTTCCTAAATATATAGAATATTTAATATGGCAACAGTTTATTTGTTAATTAACTTCTAAAAAGCCAATGGTGTAGCCTTATTTTTAATTTTATATACATATATATATATATATATATATATATATATATATATATATATATATATATATATATATATATATATATATATATATATATATATATATATATATATATATATATATATATATATATATATATATATATATATATATATATATATACATATATATATATATATATATATATATATATATATATATATATATATATATATATATATATATATATATATATATATATATATATATATATATATATATATACACTGGAAAAATAGATGTGTAGTTTTGATACTCAAAAATTTGTGCAGTTTCATTTTCACACAAAGATGTGTAGAATTAACACAAAATTGTGTAGCCGCCATTTTAATAAGACACCTGCGTGTTAGCGGTTTCGTTTTGGAGGGAAATCGATTTCGAAGTTCGAACAAAGAGAAGAAAAGAAATATTTTTGTTTTTTTTTTGGCAAGAAGCATTTTTTGTTACAATATGTTTAAAAATAATACCTTGGTGTTATAATATAAAAAAGTAGTTAAATCTTTTGTTTTTATTTGCTGTTCTTTATTCACACTTCTATACTTTCATTCAATATACATGCTGCATTAATTAGTGCACAAATATAATAGATACAATTGTGTAAACGTAACTAAGGCAAATGTAAATGATTGTTCAAATATTTGCGTAATACATTGTATTTGATGCTAATTAAATATATAAACTTATTTGATTTCTAGTAATGTTTTTGCATGAGCGATAATTAGTGTTAGTACATAAACTGTAAAATAGCTCTTGGTCAAATACCAATTTATATTTAATTACATTTTTAATCAGAAATCAGAATTTGTGTTGCTAATGAATACTGTCATAAGTAGCAAGTCTTTCTAATATTTTTTTTTACTTTCACTGTGCATCGTATTACTTCAAAACCATTAGATAAGTCATGTTTTAATTAGTATTTTTGTCAAATTAGTTTAATAGTTGCATATTGTTAAGAAGAAGTTTAACTCTATTATCACTCTATACACTTCAACTATAATTGTAATCATTTATTAGAGTAATAAGGAAAATAAATTTATTTTTATAATGATTTAATGCATAAATACTACCATGACGTACTTTAAAGACATATTTTAAATTTTGTCCGTAATTATTGTAACTTTTTCATTCAATTAAAAGCAAGTAGCTTTTAAGTTTATCAGTTTGATGTTTTTGTTGTTACTGAACACATTACATCTTGTTATTAAGCTATGGTTTTTAAGTTTCTTTTATTTAAGTAGTGTATATCAATAATAATTATTATTATTAATCTATATTTTAAATAACTTATTATATTTTATTTGACTTGATTTTACTGTATTATTCTAATATAACTCATTGTTGATGCATCTTATAATATGATTTAATTAACAAAATCTTGTGTTTCTAGTTGTAAAAAGTTATTTGCTTGTAGATGTCTAATAAATTGTTGAAAGTTTGGACTCTAGACGGTTCGGTAAAAGCAGCTGTGGTATGCAGTAATTTGGCTGAATTGAAAACCAAAGGTAATAATCATTGAGTTGTTATTTTAAACTTTTCTTATAAGCGGTCATCTCAAATAAACGTTGTTATTCATAACTTTTCTTATAAGCGGTCATCTCAAATAGAAGGTGCAAACAATTAGATTTTTTCTACACGAAACAATGGGCTATTACTGCTGTTTATGTAGAAAAAGTATTGATGCTTTAACAATTAAGAAATTTTTAACACATTTTCACTTGAGACATAGCTTAGCTAAATATGATAAAGTAGAACTTTATTGTGGACAAGATGGCTGTATGAGATATTTAGATAGCTTAAACTCATTATCGACTCATTTACGTAGAAAGCATAAGCTTACTTTGACAGATGCAAGCTCCGTGGAACAAAAACCAGTTGATAATGAACCAGAAAATCTGTGTGATGAAATTGAAATGAGTGAGCAAGTAGAAGAGCCTGAAAATGATGAAGTTACCGACTTTAAAGAACAGCTAAGACAGCTACTGTTTAAAGTTTATGCTAAGTGTGGGTGCTTAGATATTATACAGGAGGGATTTACTGATTTATTAGAGGGGCTGTGTCAAATGTTTTCTGATAAATTAATTAATGTTGCAAATAATTTAGATGCAGTTCATATATCCACAACCAAAACTCAACTTGAATCAGTAATTGAAGAAATCGACAATGTTAAGCCAACTTTGAAAGAAGTAAGAAACTTTGAACAGCAATTGAAACACTTAAAAACCATATAAAATTTGTTGAGCCGGTTGGACGTCCAACATTTGATCGTTATGAATCTCGTTTGGATAAGGAAACTGGAAAAATATGTCAATATCATATTCCTAATACCTACCAGTATATACCAATTCATCAGACAATTAGATTTGTTAATAGCTATATGTATGACATCTTAAAAAACAACAAAGGAACACAAATAATTTAATAAGTGACTTTAGCAATGCTTCTCGTTTCAAAGAATGTCAACTGTTTATAGAAAATTCGGATGTCTTACAGTTACATTTCTATTTTGACGATTTTGAAACCGTTAATCCATTAGGCTCGAAAACAAAAATTCACAAACTAGGTGCAGTCTATATGATGATACGGAACTTGCCATCCTATGCCTTTAAACTCCTGCTTCATGCGTATTCATCTGGTATGTCTTTTTTATACAGAAGATACAAAGACTACTCGTGGATATGAACCAGTTCTTGAAGAAATGATTAAGGATATTAAAACATTAGAAATAAAGGGTATTGAAATTTTGCTCGTTAAAGTATGTCAGACAGTTAAGGGCACTGTTGTATTGTTTTCGGCTGACAATTTAGGTATGTTAGGTTTTCAAGAGAGTTTTACTTTTGGTTGTATATGTCGATTGTGTTACGCAACTGTTGAAAGCATTCAAGATCACCACCGAGCCAGAGATTTTGAACCAAGAACTGCTGAACAGCATGAAAAAGTCGTGCAAGACTGCAACACAAGAAATACTGGTGTAAAGCGACAACCACCCTTTAATGATTTGCATTACTTTTAAGTTACTGACAACTATTGTGTGGATGCTATGCACGATATATTTGAAGGCGTTTTTCCTAATGTGTTAAAATCAGTTTATACCAGCTTATTATTGTCGATAAAATTTTTACGTGTAATCTGCTCAATTCTCGACTGAAAGCATTTCGTTATGCCACACATGAAAAGAGAGATAAGCCGTCTTGTATAACTTTAGAAAAATTGAAGTCAGGTGATAATCTTCTGGGTCAGCGTGCTCCTCAATATTTGTGTTTAAGTAGACTTATTGGTTTAATATTTGGAGATCTTATAGACTGTGAAAATACTTATTGGCAGTTGGTCACTCTTTTAATGGAGATTATAGACTTTGTTTTGTGTCCTAGATATCACATGGCATGATTTCATATTTAGATCAACTTAGTTTGATCACCACACAATGTACAGGGAGTTATTTTCATCAAAACGATTGACATCTAAATTTCATAATTTAGTTCATTATCCTGCTGGTCTTCAAAAGTATGGTCCGGCATGTCAATATTGGTGTATGCGGTTTGAGGCCAAACATAATCAGTTAAAAAAATCAATTACAAGTTTCAAAAATGTGTGTAAAACTGTAGCTCTTAAACAACAAACTCATCAGTGTTTGACTTGGCATTTTGAAAAAAATTCGGTTGTAGGGATGTAAATAGTGGTGCTGGAGAACTAATTTTTGTGCGAGTATTAAAGGCAGCATCTGCTGTATGTGCCAAATTGTGCATTGGCATGTTGGATGAAGTTTATGTTTGTAGGCATACAATGATTAATGGTACGGATTATTTCAGTGGAGATGTTTTAGTTGTTGGTAGACAGATGGATGAGTGTCTCAAATTTGTACTATTTGATGAGTTTATTTTATCTGATGGTGGCATTTATTTTGTTTGCCAAGAACTGCACACTCATTATTATGATAGTCATTATCATGCTTTTGCAGTTGAAAATGATGACTGTGGAAAAAGTGTAGTACTAGAGTATGATGAATTGTTAGATTATTATCCATTAGCGTTGCATACTGTTTCTGCCACAAGATCGAAGTATTCATTCGTTGCTCTTCGTCATGTTGTAACTAGCATCTCTAAATAAGCATTTAGAGATTTTAGTTACAACTGCATGTTTGTCATTTTTGTTTTTGTTAATTCACTAAGATCAGCTCATATCGTACGAGTTGTATAACCTGCTGTGTAAAATCAAAAGACAATTATGAATCCAATTTTTGTAATTTCAATTTTGTTCATTTCAGTTTTTATTATTAGGCTATGTAAAATTTCTTTATGTAGCTGCCCAAAAGCTTGGTTTTGATATCGCTTCGTTCAAAATTGATGATGGTACAGATATCGATGTTAATGAAATTGTGCAATATTTAAATCCCGGTGCAATAGTGTATGCTTTAAATGCTGATGAAGCTATCAGAAGCTTGGCAACAACATTGTCTATAATACCCGGTACACCAGACTACACATTCGAACCATTGCAGAATTCTACACCAAAAACAAGCATGACTAGCATTACTTCAGCTGCAGATGTGCATCACATGGAAGACATGGAAGAGAAACAGCCAAGCACGAGCAAGCAAGTTGTACGTTAACGACCAAGGGACTTGCCTGTGATTTCAAGTAATAACGGTATATATTACTGTATTATATCTTATTTTAAAAGTCTATTTCAAATTTTTTACTATAAAAATCTGTATATGTAACTGTAAGTTTATTTGTATATGTGTGCTTGTATGTATGGGCAGAAGTGTACATTCACATTCAAATACATGCGCACTTAAATACAACTTAGTAGAGGAGTGACGTTTAATCGATTAATTGTCCGATTAATCGGCTAAACCTTTAATCGAACAATTTTTTGATTATTTTTTTCCTAAAATGCATAAATTTTATCAAAATCAAAAATATGAGTATTGCAGTGCATGCTGGGATAGGCAAGTATAAAGTACACACCATTTAAACCCCCTTAACTCTTAATAACGTAGACGTCATCGGCATTTATTTTTAATCGGTTATTAATCGAATAATTAAAAAAACCGCATTGCCGAATAATCGATTAATAAAAAAAATTAATCGGCATCACGGATTAATACATATGTGCCAGAATACGTATGTTCTCATGCAAGAATCTTAAGGTGCCACTAAAATTCTGCTTCAAATATTATAAATCAATTTGATGTGTAAAAGAAAAATAATGTATACATAGTGCATTTGAGTAAACTATAATAAATGAATGTATTAATGATTATTGTTTTTAAATATCTATAGACGTTTCAATTATTGTGGCATTAAAGAAGCATCCAAAAGAAAAGTGGATAGTAGAAGAGGGTAACAAAGCCGTAATGGCACGTGAAGCTCGTTTGGCAATGGTCAAAGCAGCATGTAGTCATTTCATTGACTTATTTGGAGAGTATGTATTTTTACATTTTATATAATGTTAGCTTGTTTAAACTCAAATTGAGAAATAGAAAAACGCGACAATATTAGCGAAAATAACAATACGGTAGCAATTATGCTAATATTAAGTATTAACAATAATCAAGCTTTTTTAATGTTAAGCTTACAGTAATAATTTTAATAACAATAACAATAATGATAAAAATAATAAGAAAACTAATATTTAATAATTATAGTATTGGATAAATTAAAAACAATGTGCATTTTAATCATTGTTATGTTAAATACAATTGATGATAGGTTGGCAGATTAGTTAGAAATATAGTTTTGTGCGATGTGTTTGATGTGTTACCTTATACAATTATTTACATAGTTGTGTAAGAAAGCATTATTTAATTTATTTTTTGTTTAGTTATCCACCAACAGAAAAGAAATTGCTGATGGCAAAAAGCATCATAAAAGCTTTTCCTCACCAAAAATGAAGTTTCGGCGAAGGATATGTAAGAATGCATTTTTTTGAATACTGATTATGTATTTATTTGAATACTGATAATTAGCTAATAGTATATGTATGTGCATGCATTTTATTGTTATGTGTTTACCTGAGTATATATGAATATGCCATATTTGCTCTATATAACAATTTAGTTTGATAACCAATTTTGTCATCAGAATCTGAAAACTAAGTCAAAATTGTTGTTTTTGTACATTTAATACAAATTTAAGCAGTGAACTATTTTTTTTTATCAAGGAACATTATTACACATTAGATGGGACAGGTTTTATACAAAACCGGTTTAGGCAGATTAAACGTCAGCTGCCTGAGCGGCAACGAAAATATCGCCTAAGATACAAACTATGTACGTCATTATTTTCTTATAATTAAGTGTACGATTGCGTTAGTGAACAAATTAGGTTTGAGTAAGTTATAGATACATGTGCAGCTGTTAATCTATTAAGTAAATCTATAGCTAAATATGCAGCTGTTGATCTATTTTATCAGCCTGTTTTATTGCATTTATTTTTATGTACAGCAGTCAATGATAGTGTGGTTCAAGCGGCTGACCAATTTATAGAGGTGTTTGGCGAGGATGTCAAATTAAAAACGGTCATGCTTCAGAATTTGGTACCGTTATCAGCCAACGTAGACAAAATCTATACGTTAATGGCTGAAACGTGCAGTTATCGGCAGAGTTGGATAAAAGGGGGTGGAGGTTCTGCTGGACCTACAATGGCACAGATCCTTCAGGAATGCCCTCGTTTTATAAATGTGCCTGGCTTAGTAAGTTTCTGTTTTCAAGAACATTGAAAAGCAAAAAATAACTCATACATAGCTTAACTTTCGAGATATACAACCAATAAAATAATAAATAAACTTAATTATATTCAAAAATCTTTTCGTTTCTTTCGAAGAATTTCATTACATATTTTTCAAGTATTTTATCATAGCTATACAAAATCCTACATACAACTTTCATTATTGTTGCTTGATAAAAGCACTAAAAGAATGCTTAGTGTTGATATATATTAATGTTCATTTTACTATTTGTCTGCATAGATATAAGCAAAACTAGTTTCATTAAATGTTGGTTTCTGTAAAATAATCGATCATATGATTTTAAGGTACAACAAGATTTCAAAAGTATGGTTGCTAGTCCGAGAAAAGATCCAGCAGCATACTTTGAAAGCAACCTCGCTCTCGAAGTGCTTCGTTATTGTGATGGCCAAGGCAAATCTCTTGACCTAACGCAGAACTTTGAAAATTTCACCGCAGATACAACATTTAAATATTCAGGATTGTACTTGTGTGTAAGCACTTTAAATTATTGTAAATGTATGTAAAAAAAACCTATTTATTTGTTATTAGATGCAACGAGTCACAATGCAATGCTATGTTTGCTGGACATGCTACCTACCATGGGAAAGCATCGGACATCAGCTAAAAATCCCCGCCAATATTTTATCGACGTCATAAAAGTAAGTCAATGTTAATGATCATTGTATGTTATTGTTTGCATTTAATAAAAATAATAATAATAATAATAATAGTTTAAATGCATTTTATATGATAAACTAAAACAATGGTTTTAGCTTATTTGATATCAATTTTATAACAACCACTATTTTGTTTTTCATTAAGTAGGATTCAAAACATTAATTATTAATCTTTTTTTAC